TATCTACTTACCAGCAGGTGCGCTGTGTGCTCGCTTGTCCCTCATATTCAATAAAAAATATACAAGTGCAGTAGGTGCGTTATATCCATTTAGCAATTTGAATATATTATTCTGATTAGTAAAGATATAAGACAAACATATTCAAATTGTTAATACGATATGCAAAAAAATGGTGCAAATATTGCAGTAGGCAGCACGCGGGCCTGCGGGCGTGCGGGCTCGTCCTGCTTTACTGACATACACATACATACACACGCCTTGCCATTTGCATGCGGATCTAAGCGAATTCCATGTTTTGTTTCGCTACTTACATTAGTCACTTGGTTTTACGTATTTCAAAATACAATTTAACTATGATTTTTTTTTAGAATGTAGGTGATAAGCGGGCACACAATCCATCTAATGGTTGATGCTGTGGCTTATAGACATCTAGATCTATCATCAATTACGAATCAAAATGCAGATGCGTTGAATGTCTCATTTCCAGTAAAAATGCAGATGCATTGAATGTCTCATTTCCAGTAAAAAGGATCTCCGGTTCTCTACACTCACCATACGAAACACAGCAGCATTAAGCTGCTATTTTACGCTGGTATTCCGTGAGAGCGCGGTCCTTCCCCGGTGAAGACAACTTGTGTTACAATCATAATATAGCTGCAACATGGCTCTACCACGTGAAATGATATGCCAAAATGCCAGCATTCTTGAAAGTATTGCTTATTACCGGAGCCGATACACTCGCTCTGGTTATGCTTGTTTCCGTCAAGAGTAGTATACTAAGATCTTCATCTCATCGTCGTTTGGTCCAGACAACTTTGGATAGTTTCAGCTGTCTCCGTTAGGGACCGCTATCTTCAGCCCTAACATAGATATATTGTTTATTGAGTATGTTTTACGTTTAAACCATTTTTCCGTTGCTTATACAATGTAATGTCACCACGCATCTTTTTGCATATTTAAGGATTTCCCGCATAGAACATTATAACATACAAGTAATTGTTTTGCTCCGGGTCTGGATATCTGTAATTGTGCAATTTATGTTAAACTGTCACATCGATATAGGAGAAAATCCTATTGTTTTATGTTTAAAGTAGATACCTAATATTTTTGATGTGTTTTTGTGGTTTTACGTTTGCGTTCGGTGGATCATAAGGATATTTAGAGTTGATAACCCAAGTAGTTTTTTGTACATCCAAATCGATCTTTCACTAGATTCGCTTTGCATCTATTCGTTTCGCGAGACTTAATGACTTTAAATTGCGTAATTAATAGGCGCGGCAAGCTCACACGAGTACGGCTGCGACGGTGTCGCCCTGTCTCGGAGGCAGCTTCCTAATGAGCCATCTTTGGACAAACCTAATTAATCTTCGTTAGTGCGCAAAAACTCAGTAACGTAAGAAGTAAAAACTGTGCGACCCGTTACGCGGACGCGCATTGCTTCCGCAGCTTTGGCCCACAAAAAAATTACCTCATTTGCACATTAAAATTTATATATAAAACTACATTTCAAAAATTACTAATCTTTACGACTTGAAATTTACTTTGGACATTGACATTTAAAATATACGAGAAAAAGCTTATGCTCTTTCTTTTTTTTTCTGTTTAACTCTACATTGTTATGACTTTGTTAAAAAAATATGATAGGCACACATTACCGTGTAGTACCCCGCGGGCGGGGGGGCTATAAGAATATCCACTACCCCATATCGTCCCGCGGGTGTCGTGAAGGTGACCAACAACGCGTTCCTAATAAACAACTAGAACATGAAACTTGCGGTTGCCAAGCATGACAGTTGTGGCAAATATCTCTCCATGAGGCCACAGACGGCCTGTCGGGTTGACTATACTTAACAGTTGATAGAACGTAGGTAGGTATTGATGATGGTGATGGTGATGATGATGACACAGATTAAACAAAGTTGAAAATTTATTAAATCTTACGCAACACAATGAAATTTTGGCGCTAAAGTGTTTGGTCGCTGTACACATAACTCACAGATATACTATTAAGAAATCCCTGTCAGAGTTTACAATTGTAGTTAACATACAATTTTCATGTTGTTAATAATGTCGAATGTTACGTTACGTACCATTGAATAATATATCAATATCAGGAAAGACCTCACCTCAGTACAAACATCACTGAAATTGCTTTGCCAACTTTAGGGGTGAACCAATATGGTTAGACTAATAATAATTCTCGAGCACAGGCGCAAAGCAGTCAGCCTGTCGGTTTTTCGCAAGATACAAGTACATTTCGGTGTGTGCGCAGGAATCGCACGACTGAATTCCTTCATCTCCGTTCTACTAGCTGACCATCAGACGCTCGGCTAGTCCTCTTCGTCGTTGATAATACGTACAAGAAAGGAGTGGAGTAATATGGCCAGCATCTGTTTGCCTTTCCAACCGATCACAATATGGACGTGTTGAAGGCAAGAGTGAATAAACTTTGTTAGGTCAGTGTGGTTTGCCATCTGTGGCTGCATCACCACTTGCCATCAGGTGGCATAGTAGTGTGCATCGGCTTATAATAATAAAAAGTCATTTAGTAACATGAGAGAATTACTTTGTGTGCTAGCCGTGTTCACTCAACAAATGATTTTCTAATAACTGCGCGTTACCTCTCCCGTCGAAATAGCGAGCGAGCTGAATATAAATGACACATCACTTAAGTTTTTGATACTTAAATACTCAAACACTACACAATTTTGAGAGCGTTAAGTATCACGCTGTCTCTATCACTTTAAGTCAATGTGACTGTGACAGCACGAGACCAAATGACTTGTTAAAATTGAGTAGCGTTTGAGAAAATGGTCATAAGGCTAACATTTTTTTTGTAATTATTAAGGCAGGACGAAATGTGACGATAAAAAGGTTTCGTTACGGTTCACTTATGGGAGCGTGTGTTTCAGTATGATTTTGAAGATGTTCCAGGTCAAAAATATAAAAGGTCGCATGAAGTGTGTTTTAAATATTTCACAGCCGTCTCTGCGTTGCAAAGCGCCAATATAAGACACATATTATGGCTGCATGTTACTGGATGGGTATTGGAAGTGGGCAACTAAAAGCACAGCGAGATGATTGCATCTCAATCTCGCGCACAATAGCGAGGCTCGGTGTTTATTCCGGGCCCGTGGTGTCATTACTTTAAGAATATATCAAAGAAATATTAATATAATTGGTTAAAAACTGAATGACTTAGAAGTTTTTTTAGAAAGTTTGTTTTGTTTTTTCAAATAAATAAAATATTGTAATTAATTAATATTGTCATACTAACAAGTTTAAAATCCTTCCCATACCGTGATTGAGTCAGACAAAATACTGCAGCGGAAAGACAACGCGAACACGCTGACGCTTCCGCTTGAGCTCTTGCCATCGTAAACAATACAGGGCTATCAGAACTCTATGTGGTGTTTTAAAATAGGATGGGTGTGACAAGCGAGCACACAGTCCACCTGATGGCACGTGGATGCTGTGGCCCATAGACATCTACAATTATATTATTCTCGATTAAGTATCAAAGTGTAGGTATGTTATCACCCCTTATGACTATGATAGAATACCTCGTTTCGAGTAAAAACAATACAATAGGAAACAAATCAACATTACGCTGCTATTTCAGTGTTATAGTGAACAGCTTATTATCGCTGCTCTTATTGTTTGCTTCTCTCTACTACAGTGTAGTTTGTACACATGACAAACTACACTGTAGTAGAGAGACTGTACAATACTAAAATACTGTACAATGTACTAACTTGATTAGCATAGTGGTATCATATGTTTTTTTTATATATTATAAGGGGGCAAACGAGGAGTCGCAGCCATTTTCATGACTATCGACGCCCATAGACATCTGTCTGGATGTTATACAGATGCGTTGCCCTCCTTTCCCCTCCCCGCCCCAAGGGCTACCGGATACTTACACACCGCACGAAATGTCATTCTCATATGTATATATATTAACAATTTTTACATTTTTTAGTTAATTTATTAATCAAAACATATGGCGGGCTGCGGAAGCCCAGTACAGAATATAAATACAATTAAATTAAAGCATGTCGTTGACTCGAACTCAACATGAACACTGTTTTGAAGTTTTCACTTCAAAAATGTGTCGGATATTAGCGATCGAGCTGAGCGGCGGGTAACAGCTAGTGTTTAATAAAGTATCCTTAATATTTTTAGCTCGTACAAAGTTAGAATTAATGACTGTTAAGAATTTTAGTTCATGTTTGGGCAGGGGCTTAAAATGAAATACTAGGTATTCAGCAGGTGACAGCCCTGCTCCAGTGTGGCTCAATAAAACGCGAGAGGAATGTCGCCCTTGTCCGCCACCGCCGCTGCATCTCGCGACAACAATTGGACCGAGTTGGCCATCGGCGGTATTTTTACCCTGGCCGCCGCCCGTTCACAGCACTTAGCTGCGTACCGGCTCCGCACACTTCCTTATTGCTCCAAGATTCGTGTTGCAGTAGGTCAAGCACTTCGTCTGTCACTCTCGTTTGAGCTCGCTCTGACATCGGCTCCCCGAATAGAACCAGCGGCGTTTAATTGATGATATGTCGATGTAATGGCTCCGAGTGCGCATCTCGATCCGGCAATTTATTAGCTGTCGTAAGATTTTGAATACACGTTTAAAATAAACCTCATCAGTGCTTGTTTCATTTTGTATTGTCGGTGGAAGGGCGGACAGCTTACATGTGCTACGGAAGCTTCTTCAAAAGCGCTTAATATAGTAAGAAGATACGGTAAGAAAAAAAATCACCCAAAATGTAAAATTGGAAAAAAATCCACCCTTGGGTTAACGACCTCCTGCTATGGAACTATTTTAAGTATTGATAGCAGTAGAGGTAATGAGGGTACTGGTAATGCCGATTGACTGAAGCGTAAATGTTATACACACGTATTTTAACGTTGAGGCAAATATATTACTTTTAAACCAGTACAGCAATCTAATTGCATAATAAAATGAAGGTAATCTTGTGTAATAGGTGTTGGACTCAGACCACGTTAGCTCCCGCATCTCGCATGTGCAAGAATCTAATAACTGTGTGTACAGGCGGGCGGAGCTCTCGCACATGCATCTCCTCAGTGACATATTTACGAGTCAGCTTCCCTCCCGCTCGTCGCGACTCAGCGCAACGCTTCTTGTTGCATTGCGCGTGCGACAAATAAATTAATGTGAATGGAGGCACCGCGGCGCGGCACAAAGCAGCCGCCCGGTAGATATATGCTCCTAGCGCTTGGTCTCGATTGATGACAACAGCAATACCCGCTGGCGACTTCCTCTGGTTCGCCTTTGAATTACACTTATACGCGATGCCCATACTGATGTGTGCATAAATTATGACCTAAGGTAATTTCTTGATTATCCACCTTCTTCTTTATAAACGTTATCCACACACTAGGACTCTCCCCCGTATTATTACGGAGGCAATTTACATACATAGAAACAAAATTCTAAACCCGGAATAAACATTTGTGGGCCACACACACACACTTCATTCGTACGGGACCGAACAAGCGGCCAACACCGCTTCAATTCGATGCTAAGCCACCGCGGCAAAAAAATGTCAAATTAATGTAATACAAACCTTCAGTAATGATATATCAAACCTTCATACAAATACGTAAAATAACTTAATTATAAACACAAAGGTGTATTTAACAAAATTAAAGGTGATCTTCTGACTTTTGTTTCCTGTGCTGCCTCTTACGACACCCACTGAATGATATGGGCTAGTGGAATATCAGTGGAGACCCACCACCCCATGTCATGTCTTACGACACCCACTGAATGATATGGGCTAGTGGAATATCAGTGGAGACCCACCACCCCATGTCATGTCTTACGACACCCACTGAATGATATGGGCTAGTGGAATATCAGTGGAGACCCACCACCCCATGTCTTGTCTTACGACACCCACTGAATGATATGGGCTAGTGGAATATCAGTGGAGACCCACCACCCCATGTCATGTCTTACGACACCCACTGAATGATATGGGCTAGTGGAATATCAGTGGAGACCCACCACCCCATGTCATGTCTTACGACACCCACTGAATGATATGGGCTAGTGGAATATCAGTGGAGACCCACCACCCCATGTCATGTCTTACGTGAAGTGTTTTTTCTAAAATATCCCCAAAACACTTCTCTCTACAGTGAAAAATAACTATACTCATAATTATAACAAAATATAATTTCTATTCCATTTAAGTTAAAGCACTAGTAGGGTAAGTCAGGGGGAGATGGCCATAAGGGAGAGGTGGCGACTTAAAAGGAACCATAGATGCACTTCCCAAAGTGCAATACTTTGTCGTTAGTACAATATCGTCATACAATGTCGGTAATATAATTCGTGCAGCGAGTGTGAACGACGCGACGTTTCGCTAGAACTCCGGCGAAAAAAAAAAACAAAAATTAAGTAAAACGTACCTATATTGATTAGTATGGAGCTTAAAGTTTTCAAAGGGTTTGCGTTAAACAGTTTAGGTAATAAGGAATCTTACAAAATAAGTATTTTTTAAGTTAAATGTTCAGTTTATGAACCAAACTTTAATATAACCGGCAAATAGCGCATGGAATGTTTTTTTACAAATAAGATGTGGCCAATAAGGTCTATCCCGGATGGTTAGGACAGATAGCCATACAATTTCGGCATGAGATGGCCATACATAAGTAAAGTGTTACACTAAAAGCTGTATTATAATAACTTGCTATACTTTCTTTATTCATGGTTATTTATGCTAAATATGTTTTAGTAATAAATTATAGTATTTTATTTTTATAAACCAAATGAAAACTAAAGAAAAGCAGTCAGCTCAAGAAGGAACTGGATTGAAGAATCATTTCAAGCAACCATGAATGCCGTTTGAAGATAAAATAACTATCTAATAGCTTTCTTATGGAGTACAGAAAGACAAAGACCATCATCTCTATTCAGCGAAGCTACTGAGAAGAAACTCGCTACTCGCTAATTACGTTGAACTATATAACAAAATAATTAAGTTATCTGAAAGCAGTGATGAGGGGACAAAAACCAATATTATTTGACTTGTCTGACGAAGAAGACGAAAACAGAGAAATTGACAACTGTGTAGGTAGTGAAGAATATTATTATGAAACGCATGTTATCAAAGACTGGCTTCAATGCGTTAAGTGCTGATTGTGGCTGCATAAACATTGAACCGAGCTTGATGACAAGCATTCATTATGTGGATAGAAAAAAGAATAAGCTAAAACTTAAAAGGTTATAGGAATAGAGTGGCTGAAATGCTGAGTAATAAACCGGCAATCTATCCCTTGCTACTATGGCTATCTCTACCTGGCACTACGGGAGAGATAGCCAATCGTAATTTGGAAAAAAAAGTAAATCATGAGACTGATTATGTTGAAGTTTAATAATTCTATGTCAAAGAGTTTAATGTCGAAAGTTTAATTAAAAATTGATATTTGTTAATTAATCTTTGTAGTTTGCATTTTACGGGCTTCTGAAAAAACTATAGCCAACTCCCTCGGACTTACCCTAAATACTTCTGTACATCGGTTAAGCATCAGTAGCGTTAATATTTGTGTGTATTGTGAGCGATACATAAAGTGTTTTCGTGAAATCAAGATCGCGGGATGCTGCGCTGGCTGCCGGTGGACAGTCAAAGCCGCGTAGAGTGATCGCTAGCTAATAGCTGGCTTCTTACTGTTGCCTACTCGCCTGCTCGCAAGGCTGTCCGTTTTAATTTCATAGTTTACTGTTTTCGTTATATATTTTGAGCACGAACCAAACGCGGCAGCTATCGTTATATCTTAGCACTTATTTTAATTATGTAATGTTGGCTACTTTCCATGTTCAGGTTATCATTTAAACAAAATAAATAGTTCATATTGCTATAGTACCTAATAATAGGTACTAACTACATGAGCGTTCCAGCGGTCTTTATTAAAAAAAATAATAACGTCCTCTAGAACGAATTTCGGTCACGGCGGATAGTCTCAACGGAGACTAGCCATATGCGCCAGTCAGGACTATAGTGGCCGGATATATGCGCAAGCACAGGTGTACTCTCTAGAGACCGATGGCACGGTTGTCCAACACGACTGGAGAGGCCAGGCGCGGGACCATCGGCTGTATGTGCTTTTCGAGACATGGGAATAAAACGCTGCCAACTTCCTAACTCCGCGTTGTTACTAAGAATTTCTTGACAGAAAGACTCAATAACGGATTTTAGCCTGACATGGGATTCGAACCCGGGGACCTCGCAACTACCAATCGCGCTTACGCCTTCTAGACCAATGAAACAGTCGATCAGAAACAATACCTATATACTGACGGAGATTGATAGTAAAACAAATACCTTTATTACGTTGTAAACATACCTATTATCGAAATTATGTTTTATCAGCACATAGTATCGTAAAATATCTTTCATAGCACCACTTAGGTACTTTTTTGAACGCTGCAGCTATATTATGGTTGTAGCACGAACGATTTGGTTCAAGCTCTAAAGGACTACGCTCTCACAGAATACCAGCGTGATAGCGGTAGATTAAATGCTGCTGTGTTTTGTATGGTAAGTGTAAAGAACCAGAGACCCATTTTATTTACTGGAGACAAGACATTCCATCTTAGTGCTCAGATATGACAACGCATCCCTATTTTGATTTTCAACCGAGATTACATGTAAATGTCTTGTAGCTTTCAACCACTTACCATCAAGTGGACTGTGGGCTCGTTTGTCGCCCTTATTGTAAAAAAGATAAGAATATTCAATTTAGAATATGCAATTCTTGCAGCATTATAAAACCATCGAAATTTGTTTGCCGACTTCTTTAAAAAACAATATCGTGCCCATTTTAATCGCATGCCTCATACGTCAATACGGCAGCCCTAAGCACGCACCAAGCTGCTGGTCGCGTCTCGTTGGACAAACCGTGCGACAAAGTTGTCCGAGGCGACAGCAGCCATCGTTATCAAACACTATGTTCATTATTGTACTGCATTGGCACGGACTCGCTCGCAACACAATGCCTATATTGTGTTCTAAGATTTATTGGCGAATGGGTTTGCTTTCTATAAAGGATTATGTAGATGTTTGAATAACAATACTGAGCATGAATAACATTACTGAGGCTAGATGTACGGTACGTACTTACGTACGGGAACGTACCTCAAATTGTATAGTACGCAAACAAACCTTTAAACAAGATTATACCTGGTTGTAAGCAGGTCGTGCTTTGTATCTTTTACCTGTGTCCTAATACTTATGAATGAAAAATTAAAAGACCACTCACTGGTTAGAACCAAAGACGCTGCACCGGCTGCGTATAATTTTGTAAATTTATAAGGTACCAGCAAGCCACCCGGATTCGCGCAGGGGAGTTCTGGACCTCGACAACAGTGCCAGCAACCTGGTCCAAATGTAAATCTAAACCATGCAGCGACCTGTCGCGCCATTTTCGAGTTTCTGCGAGACTTACGGACAGCAATTGATTTTAATTAGGGATGCATCCGATACCGATACCGGTGCCGATATATCGACGATACTTGAAGTTTGCCGATACACCAGCATCGGCGATAATTTTATGGCCGATTCATCGATACTTTTCAAATTTCGCGGTTCAAAAATGTAAAGTAAACGCGCGTGTTGTCTCGTCTATTTCGTTGCAAACGAAACTGTCAATAGTTTTAAACGGTTTTATTTACCTACTTTGTCCTGTTACTTGTTATTTTTATATGAATTGAGAAAATAATCTGACTTGTGTTTTATTTGTTTTACCTTTACACACATACCTACATTTTTGAATTCAATAAGAGTATCTGTATCGGTATCGCAGATATTTTTATAATGGTATTGTATCAGCAAAAAGACGTATTGGGGCATTCATAATTTTAATATAGGATCTACAAAAAATTTTTTTCGTATTTCATATACAAATCCGAGATATTTCTTTCACAGTTTAATTACATTTAATTATAATATATATATATATATATATATATATATATATATATATATATATATATATATATATATATGCCATTTTGTCCGATAACTAGTTGCCAATTTGTAGATAGTGACATAATCCCATTGCTGTAGAAATCTAGGGATTTTGAATAAAAAAAATACGACAAGTAACTTTGACAGTCTTCTTTTGATGTTAACCTTACACTACCCAAAGAATTCTGAAGAGACCGAAACAGGTAAAAATCTGAGAGTGCAAGGTCAGGACTGTATGGTGGATGCATTAACACTTCATAAGCAAGCTCTTTCAATGTTGTTGAATGGCCAAAAATGCCTGGCGTTATCACGATGAAATACCACTA